AAAGGTGGCATACACGAGACGCAGGTCTCTCTTCATGGAGTCTACAAAGAGGCAAATGCCAAAGGAGCTCCATTTTTATCCTCTGACTTTGCCACCAGCAAAGATAGCTGACCTGGGTAAAATGCCAGTGGAGGAGACTTCTTCTTTATGTAAAAGAAACGCCCTTTGGGACTTGCCTGGTGGTCCAGCAGTTAAAACTTCACATTTCCAATGCAGAGGGTACAGGTTCGATTCCTGGTCAAGGAACTAAGATCTCACATGCCATGCAGGCAAAAAAAAAAAAATGACCTTAATGGGACATTAGATATGTGACCTTTGACCTCATAAGGCCCACACTAAGGAGTCCATCAAGTCCACTTGCTTAGACCTTCATAGCTCAGAAGAGAAGTGTGTGTGAGGCTAATGCCCTCATCAAAACCCAGAAAAGGTGTGTGGCCATAAGCAGGGCCCAATGTTCCCAAACTTCATATGTGTCATCAATGAAGAATATTTTGTGTGAGGTGTTGGGTATTTATTTTTACATGTACTTTAAATAACATTTTATAAATAGCACTGATCCATTATTTCAAAAGTACTATTGCTTAAAGAAAAAAGAATTAAGTGAGTTACCAAAAAAAAAAAAATATTGGCCCAGGTGGTGCATTGCAAGCTAAAAATGATCCAAGTGGTACTCAGATGGGCCAGAGTCTGGGAAGCCCACAGTGATGCTCACCGGGGTCATTACTGCATTTTGGGCGGGGCTGCTCTTCACTGTGGAGGGCTAGTTCCCACACGGCCTGCAGATCACTAGCCCCAGCCACTGCCCAGTCCAAGGTGACAGCACCCTCAACACTGCACAGTGATACTCCCCACAAAATGCCTCCAAACATTTCCAAATGCCACATGGTAGAAGGCTGGGGAGATGTAACACTGCTCCTGGATGGGAACTACCACTAAAGTCAAAGTCTTGCTGGAGGCCTCACTGGAAGAACAAGCTATTTTCAGATATTTTAAAAATAGAATGAAGGGAAGATAAAATTCAAGTTCAGTTACCAAGTGGTTTGGTCGGGGGATGGTGGGGAGGGAAGAGGGACCAGAGTAAGCAAGTGAGTGAAGAGAAAATCCCTCAGTCGTGTCCAACTCTTTGCAACCCCATGGACTGTGTAGTCCATGGAATTCTCTAGGCCGGAATACTGGAGTGGGTAGCCTTTTCCTTCTCCAGGGGGTCTTCCAAAACCAGGGATCGAACTCAAGTCTCCCGCATTGCAGGCGAATTCTTTACCAGCTGAGCCACAAGGGAAGCCCAGAGTAAGCAAATGAGAAGCCAAATGAAAAGACAGCAAAGACATAAGAAGTTCTGGTGAGAATGCAGACCGACAGAAAAGGCCTGGGGCTGCAGACAGAGACTTCCTGGTTTGGGGCTGCTGTTAGGAGCAAGACCAGTTTCTTCCTCCTTGTCTTACAGGTGCAACCTGGCACCTGACAATGACCAGAGAGAGCGCCCGCTGTCTGCTGGTGAACAGGCAGTACAAGCTATTGCTTGAACCAAATGCAAGAAGGTATTCTTAGGTACCGAACCAAGAGAGTGTTCTGCAAGAATGCAGGAATCATTTTATGAAACATGGGACAGACTTATCAATCATTAGAGAAGAAGAAAAGTTCTCAGAAAGCCGCGAGCCTCTTTCCAAGTGAGGATGAATTGTGAGGATGAGAATAAATTGTTGCTGTTTGTACACTACCCAAGATACCATTCATGCCCTTTAAAAATCTTGGTTATTTTTGGTGCCTTGGAGCCCCTAGTTTTCCCAGTGCACTCCAAGGTGGAATGTCCTCTGCCTCAATGTGTCTGTAGAACAAATCTTTCAAAAGTTGCTCATAGGTGGTCATGGAAAAAAAAAGCTTGTCAAATAAGTTTGGGAAATACTGCATATTTCCGTTTTGGAGATTCACAAAGCTCACTGGCAACTTATAGGTTTTGAGAATACTTCTTCTGTTCCCTGGGTTATTTAAAATGTGAAACCCAAACTCCCTGCTGGGTTTAAAAGTCAACAGACTTGTCCCACTTTACCTGGTCAATATTGCTTTCCTGGGAGGCAGACTCATCACTGCTGTTCCCACCTTACCCATCCTCACTTCCGGGCCTTCTCCCACATCCCTCCATCCTCTAGAAACGCCTTTCTCAGCCTCCCCACTGACTCCACACTTCCGGCAAAGCACCACTTCAAGATTCATGTCCTAACGACTGTTCCCCACAGTGAACTTTCTCAGAACTGTATCTACAAAAGGTGGTGTCCCATCAGTGTGATCCCTTCTATGTTGCCTTGGGATCATTGTCTGGGCTGTGATACATGCAGTTGGTCGGCAAAGCTCATAAGAGCCCCTAAATGTACTATGGATACCATGGGTCTTATAGGAAAAATACTTCTTCATGTGTATCCTGGTGGATGTGCCAATGGCTGTTTGTTCCCTTATAAAACCTCTTACACTGCTTGTGTCTCTGCGAATTAGCAGTCACTGGGTAATGACTGAACATATGTGTTCTGTCTATGTTTAATTACTCTGATATTCCTCAAATTAAATGAAATGTCTGCTACAACAGATTCTACCTAAAAATGTATAATGTTGGGCATATTCAAAATTAAGAATATGCTCCTGGAAATGGAAGCCATCTTTTTACCTGCATGAATATTAAGAGTTTATTTTTATTTCTAATCTATTCCCTAAATTCTCCCTTGCCCCTCTCAAAAAAAAAAAAAAAATTT